CAGTGCCGCTGGCGTTGCCCTGGGTAGAGGCGCCAGGCGCAGTCGCCACGTTAGTGACATTTGCCAGGATAACATCGGTAGCACCGACTGTTGCTGCAGACAGTCCCGTAGCAGATATGGAACCATGGGAGCCATGAGCGGAGGTAATTTGGGAATGCAAGATGCCCAAGCAGAGGCCCATTATCAGAGGCACCATAACATCGGCTTCAGTCACCTGCAGATTAAAAAACAACGATTACACTAGACAAAACAAAATGGGATAAAATAGTTTCTCACAGGAGTCGCAAAAATACTTCATTTTAAACAACCGTAAACGTTCTTATAGCACGCTATGCGAAATAGGAAACTCGCAAAGCCAGAAAATGCCTTCCAAGTTAAGATGAAAGCGCTGGCCTCCGGAGCAGGGCATAGGCATGTATCTGACAGTTCAGCCGATACAGTGCGAAAGCCGGGGGTTGGCAGTTTCAATCTACAAAGTGAACGCTTTTTAGCTTTTCGAATTTCCCATTACTAACTTTCTAACTGGCCAAGTTACAGATTATGCGAAGTGTCGGTTGCGGTATTTTATTTACAGAGGGACAAATCGGGCAGAGCTTACATGAGTCTTCAGCGGATTGACAACCAGAAAGCAGGAGACTTGAAGCAACTGAATGAAGAAGTGGAAAATAAGGTAGGCAGCGAGTCTGGGAGACAGGTGACGTTTCCAGTAGTCCAAATAGAGGATGGGGAAAGCTGAGCGCAAAAAACCGCGGTGCAGGACCGCACACCAGTCATGTTTGGGCTTTGCTCGAGCAAATGCGGTGCCTATAGGAAAACAGTACATATGAGTTTAAAAGAAGGTAAACAGATGAATAACAGGTAAAGCATGTAGGGCAGACAGGAAGGCAAGAGGAAAATATATCGGAAAGTAGTGCGTGGCAGCAGAATGTGACATTCACAAAAAACTGATCGAGGGTGGAGATATAATAGAAAATTAAAAAACAACAAGGGATAATCACAGTACGCGGCTGAAATTTCTGTTCGATAAAATGACTACCTAGTAGGGTGAGGTAGATGGAAATTACTGAATAAGTAGTCGAATCCGGTTAAATGGGGTATCAACGGAGGTTTGTTAAAGATCTCCATAGCCTCATTACCAGAATACATGGCTTTGACCTCAAGCCGCAGAGGGCCTGATGCGATGTGGGAAGGGGTTTCCTCCGGGTCAAACACTTCTGTCATTAGGACCTCACGGTCAAAGTAGAGAGCGAAACCCCTCACAAATAGTGCAAATGTCGCGTGGAAGTCACCAGTTGATGCTAACCTCATAAATCCTATTGGCTACAAAGTGAACCGGGTGCCTCAAGGTTAAAGCAAACAAAAGGAGTGGGCATGAAACCCGTCTGGTTATCTATGATCATAGACCAGTTCTCGGACTAGAATAGTCTTTGTGAGACGGCATTCTTTGGGAACACATAGTTGGAGATGCACAGTGGACAAACAAACGCTAATAACCTATAATAATATTCTAAAAGGGACTTCACGGGTGCTGCTATGATGGGACTCAGAACTGTCGACAGAACCTCTGAAGTTGCGATGACAAAAGGTAGATAATTTAAGTTCCTTGAAAGTGTAATGAGAGCGTCATTCAAGAACGAATGTATTGGTTTACGCACAGATGTACTCACACAGCGTCTATGGTGATTAACCGCGAGTAATTGAGGGCGAAAAGAATCAATCACAACATCATAATCGTTTTTTACATCTGGACATACAAGCGTGTCTACGCAATCAACAGAACTAAGGCAATAAACACTCCGCCGTCAGATTTTTTCTTCAGGACAGCATCATGCTAAACATACAAATTTAAAATAACGGGCATGTGTAGGAACTCTCCTCAAATGCCGGGTAGGTAAGTCGTGATCGGATTTCAATGCATTATCCGATCGGACAATGACAAAGGAAAAAGGATTGTCAAAACAAATGCCTGTGGAAATCAACATAAAACGCTATCATGGGCGTAAGGACGATAACACAGAACTGTGAAGCCCTTCTAAGCAGAAAAAACCAAATGCATGATTTTACACCATTCTGAGAGTGGAAAGGAAGACAATACGAAACGAAAAATAAAGGCAAATTGCAATCAATCGAAGTGTTTTCAATTCCTCAAGAAGACTTCACCAACGGTTCAAGGAACGTAAAAAAGATTTGATTTGAATGCTTAGTAAGTGCGTGCACATGAAATAGCACCTCTCCCAGGGCGTATGAGACCATTTCGATCTTTTTCAAGTCGGTGTCTCTTAAGTAAAACTTGACGAAGGCTGACTACGGATTAGTTCCAATGACTTAAGAAGGCATCGACACAAGCCCCCTCCAAAGCCCCATAAGGGATTTCAAAATGAACTTTCTGAAAGAGAAATACCGCGTTTTCATATCGTTGAACACTGTGAAAACTTAATTTGAAAAAGTCATACATGAAACTTACTCCCTGGCATTTTTTCGCCTAAGAAAACAATCTAACTAATGGAGAGAGTGAAAAGAGATATGAAAATATAGAATACGTGAGTTCCAAGTCTTTCTCATAGGGATCCTAATGAAGGGCTGTAAAGATTCCCGCTAGAAAACTAACATCTTTTAGTATATTAACTAATTTGTTAATTAAGTCTGCAGTTCAGAAGAAGGAGATGCGATCGCGGAGCGCCGCGCACACCCTCAATTTACGCGCAGAACAACCTGCTCCCAGCGGCCGCGGGAAGCAACTTCGACTACGTTTTTTCACTTATCCCTTACTTCTAAAAATTTCCTTCTCTGCCTATCCTATTTCCCACCCCCCAAAA